TTACCTTTTCCTTTCCTTCTTTCTAAATCAATCTCACGATCACACCTTTCCTAATTCATACAATAAAATCTCTATAATTTAATAATGTTGGTATTTTTAAATTTTATTAATCTACGAAAGTATTAATTTATAAAATTTTCCTTATTTTAGTATATAGACATTAATTATTATTTTTATTTTTTTGAAATTTATATTAGTTTTATTATATTGTTTGGTGTATATAATATATATTACACATAATTTAAATGTGGTTTTTCATATAATATTAGTGAATCTCATCAAAAAAAATATTATGGGCTAAAGACATATAAAGATAATTTGATTGTGAATATAAAATAAACAATATAATGATAGATTCTTACTTATATGTATATATATAAATTATTAATTTATAACTTTAAGGAGCTATATATTTACATATTTTTTTTGAAAATAAATATATTTTCTTATTATTCTATTGATTTGCGTCAAATATTAAATCGGCGCAAATTGGAACCGGCATAATTTATTAATTTACAAAAATTATTAATTTATAGAAATTATCAATTTATCGACTATTAATCTATATAGGTTCTATTGTACTTGCATACATGAATATAGATGGAAATTTTTAATTTTACCACAAATTTGATATCAACTTTCAAATTTATCTTTAAAAGATGATTATTTTCATAAATACCTTAAAATTGTGATGAAAAATAGCTAAAGTAAGCTTCTTATTTATTTTTAAATGATTAATAATCATTAATAAAAGTTATAAACTTAACAATACACTTAAATAGTAAGTACTATACAATAATAATAATCATAAACTCAAATATTATGAATTTTCATTAAATGTATTTTTGAGAGTAATAACCAATTTATGATGACATCTTAAGAAATTTATCAATAGGTGGATTATCTACCGTCCTGTTATGAAAAAAATAGTTTGTATAAATATATACTTGTTCAAGAGGTTTGTTCTTATGTTTAATTAGCTTCTCTTTTGCAACGAGGGATTCTAATTAAACAGCTGAATTTCCAAAAATAATACACTTTCCTACATAAGATTAGTTTCGGTGTTTTCTCCTCTACTTGTAACTTAGGGAAGATTTGATCTAAAAGTGATTTGATGTGTCTAAAATATTTGTGTCTTGTTGATACATACACAATTTGTGTCTTGTTGACTTTTTTTGAACGACTGTGTCTTGTTGATTAAAAAGTATTTTCTGAAATATTAAGGCATGTTCATTTGCATGTCGCAGTGACATGTGATTCTGACTGGTTGTTCATGTCGTAGCTTCATGTGGTTTATAATATGCAACTACGATTTGCGACATGCGATCAAATATTACTCGTTTTTTTTGTCACATATTCATGTGACTTGCGACCTGCGAAGCCGTAATTTTTTTTAATTTCTAGTTACTTTTCAGTGATTTGAAATCATGACTTGCAAATGGTTGAGAAATCAATCGCACGACAACAAAACAAACAATAATATATGATTTACGATCTGCGATTTGATTGTGAGATTAGTCGCGCAACAGCAACAAACAACAACCATTGGAAGTCGCAACGATACTTAAACGAAAGCCACTGTAAAGTCAATAGTAGAATCATAAAGTTGTGTTTGTTGACTTGCTATACTCGAACTTCAAATTTTGAGTGATCTTTATAGCTTTTTATTACACACGACCATACAACTGAAATGTTTAAACTGATCACTAATTAAATTATAATCTGAAGTAAATCGTTCCCAAAATAGTTAGTTGAGTAATAAATCCTCAAGTCTAAACATGTGTTCTAAGAGCCCAAGATTAAATGTGTTTACAGTGCGTAGATTCCACGAGGAGGCCCATCAAAAGTCTAGCTGTCTAACTAAGTTAGATTTTCTCGTTGCGTGGTATCGTAAATGATGTTTTCTACCAGTTAAGGGGGATGTATTGAATTGAAGATTTTAAAGTGTTTTGGTTTTGTTTTAAAATCCTCTGTTATTCAACTAGTGATTTCTAATTTTTTTTTTCAAATCCTGTGTTATTAAATATGACATTTATCTAAAGTCTCTAAAAATCACTTGTAATTCACTGTTATTCAACTAACAATTTATAAAACCTAAATCAAATCCAGTGTTATTCAAAGATAAATAATTTTGAAATGAGAAAAGTATGAAATGGATTTGAAGCCAACTTTTTGTTATTTCACGTCAAAACTTTGGCTATACAAATCCCACTATCGTACCTGTTATTTGGAAATATCTAAAATCAAATATTAAAAAGTTGACCACATTGAAAAAGATAGAGAGAGAGATCAGAAGACAAGCTTGACGAAGCTTCCCAGAATTTTTTTGATTTTCTCTTGTTTCTGAATAAATTTCCAAGTCGACAATTTTGGAAGCTATTCGATTTTAGAGTCTCTCAAATAAGAGGAAGCCCTCTGATTGTTTGATTTGTTGATTTCGTCTCGAGTTTGTCGTTGGATCCGAGATAAAGGTTTTGTGCTTGGAAGAATATGAGGTTGACCTAAGGTAGATGTCGTTCCTCTGGTTTGATTTCACGTTGTTTGAAATCCACTAAAACCCATGGGTACTATATCGCAGACCTTGATTTCACATTTTTCGGAATCCACTCAACAAAATACGATGAGTTCCTTTTCTGCACATTCATCATCTGTTCATCGACCTCTTTAGTACTCATCTTTCCACGGAACAGAACGGAAGCTGTCAAGTAACGGCCATGGCGCAGGTCAGCTGGACACATCATGTTTTTGGCGCTGTATTGTTGTGACCCTCTTGAGGTTAATGGAGCGAAACCAACCCTGAAGGAAGAAGACAAAATAATGAAATTGCATTGAAGTTCTTACTCTGTTGGAAAAAAGTCACGTTATCACAAATTTAATTTGGATGGAAAACACATTCTGTTTTAAAAGAGAAAAAAAACAGAGCAAATTAGACTTTGAAAGTACTCTGAAATATTAAGATCAAATGATCTTTAACTACTCTGAAATTCAAGAAAAACTTCCACCAAATCCCTTTTTTTTTTTTTTTTTTTATAAATCCCACCTATATAACGTGATTTAGTACAAATCTCTTCAAACTCCAATATTTTTTAAATCCACTCAAAATTTTAAAATCCACAATTCAATACATCCCCTAAGACTTGGGCGATTATGGAATCGGACTCTCTCTACTTTGTCAGTCGATCAAAAATAAATAGTAAATTATGAATTAAAAGTTATAAGATTAGTCTAAAGACTCTAAACTAAATATGTGTGGTATTGGTTAAGAGTTTCGTTCAGGTTTGTGAATTTTGACCAAACACACAATTTATATATAAACAATACTTTCAATTTTTTCCCCTCTGGACTGAATACAAAACTTCAACTTAAACTTTCAAATATAACTTGTTGAAAAAAAGAATTAGACATTCACTCTTGAAGTATCATTTCAAATTGTATATCAAAATATTAATATCTATTAACAAATACATTCTCGCTTTTAGATAACAAAAACTGAATTTTTCTATTTCTCACATAATTGTGCCCTTGTTAACTTCTTAAAATGAAATCCACTCAAGGTGACCTTAATTATTAATCAACATAATTACATAATCACTTTGCTTATCCCCACCACTTCTCCACATTGTATATGGAATAGTGAGGACCATCGATAAAAAAAAATTCAGATATTTAGATTTTGAATTTTGTTCAAAAAAAAAAGATTTTGAATTTTGGAAAGTACATTTTATCAAGCAAAAAGAAGTCCAAGCATAATTTTCCCCAAAAAAAATTAAAAGGTCGATTGAAACCGTATATTGCCTCCGATTAATTTAAAATTTTAAGGAATTTTAGTTTTAAAATTTGTAACACATCAACTAATGATATATATAGTGAACATTTACTAAACGTATATGTAATGGATATTATAAGCACGGTTCTTATAATTGGATATATCTTGATTAAAAACTGACATCTTAATCGATTGGTATGATAAACTTAATTTTAATCTAAAGGTTAACTGAGTTACTGAATACTTGCTCAAAAAAGAAAAAAAAAAACTGAGTTACTGAATACAAGTACCAATCTAAAATTTTCTATGGGAGTAAATTGCAGTGACAAATATATATATATACTAGTGGTCTTCCGGCGCGCAGCGCCGGATTCGTATGTTTTATTTTAAGTGAATTTATAATTTATTTTATGGTTTTAGTAAAGAAAATATATTCAAAAATACGAAGATGCATATATGTTGAAAGAAAATATATTTTATCTGATCTATTTAATAATGGTTAGCGATTGTACTATAATACTTTATTTTAAAGTTGCTTAGGTTAATGTGAAATATCATAAGTGATTATGACTGATTAATTCAATAAAGTAAAATAAAAAGTTGATAGTCGTAACAAAATTGAAATTTAAATATAAAGTAAAACTGGTGTTCCAAAAGAAAAAATGTGGATGCCTGTGTTTTATTCGAGTAAGATGCTGTGATTGGTATCATGAAGGGTTATGTGAGTGGTCATGTTTTTAGTTTCTGCTGTTAGTTAATCATAATTTCTTGTACTCTCTCACCTCTGATTATGGTGGTGTTTTGAATACTATTGAATTAGCTATGAAGTAGGTTCAATCATCTTATTTAGTTGTGGAAGAGTTCTTGCAATAAGGAACTTAAGCTTCACTCCTGCTTCATGTGGCGTCGTAGCTAACATTCGATTCCTATTGGTTATATATAAACCTAATTAACAAAGTAATTATAATGAGTAGACTTTAATCACCATATAACGATCGAGGGTTGAGTACAGAATAGAAGTTATTTAAGCATTAAATCAGAGGAACAGTTCCCAGAGAAATATAAAAACCATTAAAACATAACAAAAAAAACTATAATATTAGAATAAGAAGAATTATTAGCTTTCGAATTTTATAAAATTACAAAAGAGCAAGCAATGCATTGTGTCGTTGACAAAAACAAATGCAAGATAGCTTGAGTCAGTATCGTGTGAACATTCACTCGGGGACTAATTTTAGTCTTTGCACATTTTCTTGCCGGAAGGCCCATCCTCGTTAGCTAGTTCCTCTTCTCCATTGTTATTGTAAGTGTCAAGGGTCTCACATGAAACATCTATCGCTGCTCTCTCGCCCTCAACAGTCGAATCACCATTGCAGCCACTTTGGTTAAGGTGATGACTGTTCAAACTAAGTGGAGTCTTTTTTAAAGCGCCATCACCAGGGTGCTCATCACCACACTGTCCATTAGAAATTGCAAATAACAATCAAGAACTTGAAACTGTTGGACACTTTACGAAGGAATTCAAACTTACGTGATTCTCAAACAAAGGTGGGGGGGGGGGGCTGGTGGCTTCCGTAAATGAGAGAGATAGTGAATATATGATGTCTGGAAGTGAAGTTGAGTGGAGAGAGCTTTAATTGGAAGGTCACAGTGCTGGCAACAATGTCTTCTAGGAGTACATGTTTAGAATTTGCTAGGATGAATGATCAACTTTTTGCAATGAACTACCTTACAACACCGTCTGCATTATCCTCATTGTCAGCAGAGCATGTGGATGATGAGAAGCCACATTGGAGCTTCCGTGAGCACTTGATAAACAGAAAAATAAGTTCCAGGAAGAGATCTTGAGAACCAGATTTACAGTATAAATAAATAAAAACTCAATGAAGGACCAACCTGAACAAGCCTTTCTCGGGAGCTATTCCTGTAATATTACTACATCATGCTTTAGCATCGCTATTCGCAGAGTCTTACCCTCTATCTTCTTCTACAATCTCTCTTGTTGTCGACGTGGATCTCTTGCTTTGTCTCCTCAATGTCTGTGTTGACAATTTCGGATCTCGCTTTTTCTTCTCTGGCTGATCTCTCATCGTTACCACCTCATGATGATGTACACGAATACTCTCTGGAGATAGGAACAAAGAAAATAAAAAAAAATCATCAGATAAGCTTAAATATTTGAAGGGGGAGGTCGAAGCAATCAGTACCATTGTCGAGCTTCCCTGGTTAACCAAATAAAATCATTTCTTTTGTTTTTCTCTGGCATGTGTAGTTTTTTCAGAAACAAAAATAGTTATTATCACCCAAATTCTAGCTTCCCAACTCCGAGCAATTGTGCTACTTCTCACCGAATATGTTTAATCTGAAGCTATTTATTGAGTATCCTTGGGTTTGGATTCGTCATAAGTTTTTTTTCTGCATACATCAAAACAAAACAAAAAATTCTCAGGAAAATAAGAACTCAAAATCAGAAACAGCCAATGAAATAATAAAATCTAAATGTTCAGTCTTTCCTATTTAATCAGAAACAACACAATATGAAGCAAGGAATCAGGAAAAGTACCCTGAATAAAAGCCTTTGTGAATCAACTTTTGCATGGAACACCGTCCAGCTTTCAAAACGGTGGGAAGAAAAAAATGAATTCTCCATTGGTGGATTTGCTGTTCCACAGAGAGAAGCAACAGATCCTTGCATCAAAGTTGCCTATTGGAAAGCAATAAAAACCAAAACAGAGACAAAACGTCAGAACCAAAACAGAGACAATCTAAAAAATAATGGAAAAGAAAAAAAGGTCTTACATTCGCATCAACAAACATCATGTCAACACTCATCAACTCGCCACCTTTCCTGACGTTTCTAGCTTCCCAGAATCAGAGTAATCGGACCTCCGTCGGTTACGAAATCCCGATCTGCCTCCGACGGCGCTACAGACGAGGAAGAAGAGCACCTGGAAGAAAAAACCTAAAAGGGAAGGCCTGGACAACAGCCCAAAAAAAAACAAACGGAAGGCTTTTCTTTCAAGGATAACAACCCACCTTAAACCAAACCAAGCCCATCACCACATTAAACCAAGCCAGGAAAACCAAAATCGACCAATACAGATTTGAAAAATTTGTGGTTCAATTTAAAAAACTGATTGCTGAGGTGGAATTTTTTGCCCCTCCCTTCCAAGCTGAGTTGGACACCCTAAGAAGGGAGGTAAGTCAACTTTATTGTATTAGATATATATATATATATATTTATGGCAACGCAATGAAAATATAGAAATCTGCTAAATAGGCACATTAAATAATTGTTGTTCAGAAGCAATAGACTAAAGCTATCAATCTACCACAACTAGTTAGTCGTCTCTTTGATCATTATAACTAATCTAGCTGTTCAAACAATCTTATTTTATTTTCACATTCTTTAACGATTTCTTTATGCCTTGATACAGAAGAGATCATCGATTATCTCTTTGACTTTATTTGTCGGTCTGTGGACATTAGATAAAAAGCACTAGAAACAAACACGTGAAGTAGCTTTTGTGTTATCTTTGCTTTTGACATGTGTACTTTACTCGATACATTTGTAATTTTCCTAACATTTATCACATACGAGCAAGTCGCCGCCGTGACGACAACGGTCTCCTTATATCAAAAATATTAATTCAACCATTGTGTTTTGGTTTTGATCCGTTAATGAGATTGATTCGTAAACATTAAACCACGTGGTTTATACACAATACGGCAATTAAATGCGACACTTATTATTCAGTTACTATAATAAGTATGATAATCGATATGTGTTTTCTGTTCCTTGAACCAGCCAAAAGTAACTTGCTAGGATTTGATGGGTTTTGTAACTTGAACTGGTTAATTTTGGTATAGGAAAAGAACTGTTTATTTTTACTTTTCAACCGGATACAGGACATTGGGTACAACAGTTTCCAACTGCAACTATACATTGCAGGAGTGAAGACAGTAGTAACAATTAGTCACATCAATTTCTGTAAAATTGTTGAATTTTCAAAAAAAAAGAGAGAGGAATCTTTTTTTTTTTTTTTTTTGTCGTTCAAAAAAAAAGGAATCTTATTTTTTAGTTGAAATAGCTAACGCCAATTTTGACTTTTCATTCAAATTTCATTGCATTTTTTAGATCAGTCTATGCTCAGATTACATTATGTTAAACTAAAGTGTTATGGTATTCTTGATTGATGTATTTTTGAAAAGTGATATCCAATCTCTTGTAATTCAGACAATTTCTTGTTAAATAATCATCTAAATGAGACTCTGAATAAATTGGTTTCCACTCATATTTGTTGCAAAATATTTGTTGTTTCTCAAGTGAGAATAAATAAGTATTTTTGACTCCTTGAGAAGTAAATATATTTTTCTTTGTTTATACATTCCTTTGTTATCTATGTCTTTCGGCGGGTAGAACGGTTCTATCGCATTCAGATCAGTTGGCCTCATTAGATCTAGCGATTTCTCGGTGGTTTGGTGGTGTGTGAGGACCTCTACCTCCTCCCTTTAGCGTCGTCTTCTGTTCGGTTTGGTTTTCTGAAGTTTTTCCTTGTGTGTATATGGTCCGAAATACCTTGATGCATAAGGGCATCATTAGTAATAAAATATCATAAAAAAATCATTTATATCATTTTTAAACAATAAAAGAAATTCTAATCACTGCTAAAATGATAACAAAAAAATGAGTCTATCTCTATTTTTATATGAACAATACTTGGGTTCATCGCTATGATGAATCTTCAAATTCACCTATATTATTAATATCAATTAAATTATCATGTAGGATTAAGAAAAAAAGATATCAAAAATTAAAAAGAAAAGAAAAGAAAATAGCTTAAAAAAACAAAAGACACCGCTGTTAACCAAAGAAACAAACGTGTTCTTTGTTTATCAATTATGTTTTGATAATTCTATTGAAATTGCTAACAGGAAGCTGCTCCCAATTTATTCTTTAACTCACCGGTTGGAACTACGTTCTGCAATGGTACACTTCGTTATAATTTAGAATCTCTATTAAAATAAGAACTAATTGTTTCATGTTATCTAAGGTAATTTTTGACTGTTGTTTATGTTTTGCTATATAGGTACAATGGAGAGTAATCATTTAAATGGTCAAGAAACTGTTCCTGTTTGTCCCAATGAATCTAGAGAAAGTCACTTTATAAAAAAAAAAAGAGTTTATTTTTTTTGTTTTATATTTATTTATTTTTATTGTTAATCTTGATATGTATCTTGTTAGTTTTTCAAACCCATTTCATTTATAGTGTGGTATTTGGCTGGAAGCGTAGTGTTTGTTGGGCTAGTTTCGGTGTTCATATGCGTTATGAATATTTGGGTGATGCTATGTTTTAGTTGTCTCTGCAGGTTTCTTCTGGTGGCAGCGTGCGAAGGATTTTTAAGATTGAAGATTTAACTCCCCTTCTCGTACTTTCCCGTGGTGATGCGTCTAGTTATTCGTGTGTTTCACATGCGTTTTGGCGTGAGTGTCTCTTGTGATCTGCCTCCAAGTCGGTGTAACTTGACATGGTGGTCCTCCATGCCAATCTATTCTCCTTAATAAAAGTTGATGCTTTAAACTTTGTTTATGGGTTAGAAGTTAGTTACAGTGGTAGATCGACTATGTGTTAATTTGGCAATGATCTGATCTGATATTTATCTTGGAAGTCCTATTAGAAAGGATGGGGTTCTATAGAAAATGGATCGTCTGGTTAATGTCTTGTATCACTACGGTCTCTTTTTCGGTATTATTCAATGGACGTTCCTATGGGTTTATTAAACCTGAACGCGGTATTCGCCAAGGAGACCCTCTATCCCCTTTTTTATTTATTTTATGTGCAGAAGCTTTAGTTCATGTTTTAAATAGATCAGAATCACAAAGGAAACTACATGGTATAAAGTTAGCAGCGGGCAGCCCGTCAATTCATCATTTACTATTTGCTGATGATAGCTTATTGCTATGTGAAGCATCTGTTGGTGACAGTCTAGAAATTTTAAATGATTTAAAAAGGTATGGGGATGCGTCTGGTCAAATGATTAATCCTTTGAAATCTTCCATCATTTTTGGGAAAAAGATTAATAATGTTGACAAACAAATGATCAAAGATGTTTTAGGGATCCAAAAAGAAGGTGGTGAAGGTTCGTATTTGGGTCTCCCTGAATGTTTTCATGGGTCAAAAAGGCACTGTTAAATTTTATCAAGGAAAAAATAGAAGGTCGGCTACAGGGTTGGTACTCCAAAACTCTGTCTATGGGGGCTAAGGTAGCCCTAATAAAATCAGTAGCCTTAGCTCTACCGATTTATGCAATGTCAGTATTCAAGTTACCAAAAGGCCTATGTGAACGTATTACGAGTGCGATTATAGAGTTCTGGTGGAGCAGTGGGGATAAAAAAAGAAAAATTCCTTGGGTTTCGTGGGAAAAACTTTGTAAACCGAAAGATCAAGGTGGTCTTGGGTTTCAGGACATTGGTCGATTTAATCAGGCTTTACTTGGTAAACAGACTTGGCGAATATGGAATAATCCAGATTCCCTAGTCTCTCGGATTCTTAAAGGTAAATATTTTAAAAATGGGGATTTTTTAGATTGTGGTATGGGACCCGTCCGTCTTATGCTTGGAGGAGTATCATGCACGGTCGTGAATTATTAAAGAAAGGATTATATCGACATATTGGCAATGGCACAGATAGTAATGTTTGGGCAGAGAACTGGATTATTGACACTATCCCAAGACCACCAATGTATCGTGATAACAGTTATGTCAATTTGGCGTTGAGAGTTTCGGATTTACTCAGGCCAGGTTTTAATCAATGGGATACTAATCTGCTATATCAGACTTTTACGCCTCAGGATGCGCAAAGGATACTACTTTTGAAACCATCATTATTAAGTGTTGACTCTATCAAATGGGGTTTCACACCAAATGGATCATATACGACACGGAGTGGTTATAAGTTACTGGAAGCTTTGGTGGATTTTGATAATCCTAATGCCCATTCTCTCTCCCCTTTGGAAAAAAAATTATGGCAAGATTTGTGGAAGACAAAAGCTCCACCAAAAATTAAACACTTTATGTGGAGGGCCTTAT